AAAAAAAGGTCCTCTTGTGCAATCAATATAAGCTTCATTTCTCTTTCATTTTTCTGGCTATGGCAAAACCTGCACCAGCAACAGCCACGACAATTCCCGACACGATCAGGGCCGTTTTAAAATTCTGCAAGGCTTCCTTTTTTTTCCGCTCTTCATTTTGTTTTGCCGACTCGATTTGTTCCTGCAGCAGAAATGTATATGTTATAATCACTTAATCAACACATGCAAAAATTTGTGGACATGGAATTTTGATAACTGGCTTCTTAACAATTTATTTATATATTTTTTTACCTCAATTTCCTTTGTGGTTGCAACATCAGAAGACACCGGGTCGACCTGAAAATCCTTGTTGATGCCTGGATTCAATTCCTTTTCAGCATCGACGGCTGGAAAGCCTTCAGATCTTGCCATGTTATACTTGATTAAAAAGGCTATTTTTCAAGTCTAGCTATATTTTTTTTCTGAAAGTGTTGTTTGATTTTTTTATGCTAATTTGGGGGAGAGAGTAAAAGAACAAAAGTAAGAGTAGACAGTTATTAAGGATGAAACGGAAGAAAGGTTCAAACAACACATGTCAGTGAATCCAAAAAGTTCTTCAATTATTGAGGATCTTAACTACTTTGTAGTATTTTAGGCACAAAAATGGTCACTCGATTGACTATATGAGTAAGGATAAATGACTATTTTAAGCGTATAATATAAATTAACTAGTCTTTCCTTTCTCTTATGTACAGAAACATGTTCACAAGACATCAATTTNTAAAAAAAAAAAAAAAAGAATCTTATAGTATCAAATAATGTCCCAGTTAGTACTTTGGGGGAGGATAAACCAAGGCAAGTTTGCATAACCACCAATAATGACACTTTAGTCTTGGAAATTTTGTACAGAAAATCGATTTATCGATTCTCGTACAGCCTTTGCCATTTAGATTCGTTTCAAGAAGTGATCGAGGGCAAATTAGCTTAATCACATTGATAATACAAGGCTGTTAGGAATGACCGTATACATACATGATTGAGATGATTGAACTAACACAAGCTACTGAGAGCATTCTCGTTTACCGAGAAAAGGAAAGGAAACAAAGGTACAACAATTTCATCGTGATGCAGAGTTTTGTCGAGCTCCTGAAATGAGTGCAACCCAATTAAAAGTAGTGAATTGTGCGGATAGTTTGCGGAATTTGAAAAGGACGTTCAGTTTAATCCTTGGCCCCAAATCCACGAGGAGCAGGCCTAGAAGTCGAGTCTACAAATTGCCTTCTTGATGGTGCTTTTCTCTTTCTCCTTGCTGTTCCAGGTGGAGCCTGGAGATTAAAAGGACAAAAATCCATTTTATTGCCAAGATAAGTACTCCACCTTTCATGTTTTTGCAATTTAATCACCATTTTTATAATTTTGCAAATTAATACACCACCTTTACCATTTTTGCAAATCGATGCATGAATGATGGTAAAGGTGGTGTAGTACTTTGCAAAATTTCAAAGATGGTGATTAAACTGCAAAAACATGAAAAGTGGTGTATTAATATGCAATTTTGCCGAATTTATTTTATCACTCTCTTTTCAATTTATTCATCTATTAGCTTTTATTTTCATAAGCAGACACTCTGGCTTTTGAATTCTTGACTGTTTCTAGATCCTGCTACAACAAACGAGTTCCTCTATGAGCGCGTTATTTTCATGAACACAATCTAAACACCTAAATGCCAATGATTTCAATGCAGGAGTTATTATAACTAAGTGACAAGAATATAATAAAAAGCAATGGGACCTTCTGTTCTGCCTTGATGGCCTCCTCAAGATTGCTCAGAGCAGGAAGTGATCCGCCTTCCATAATACCCATCAGGTTCTTCATGCGCACGCGCATTTGGAAAAGCTGAGCAACAAGTTGACCCACCTGGAAAATTGATGCCATTGTTGTGACATTCAGTTATGTTTCGACAGTTTGAAAAACCTCATGGAAAATATAAAGAAACAAGTATTTCGTTTTTTTTTTTTTTTTTTTNGTTTTTTTTTTTTTTTTTTGGCTATTTAACTATCCCTCCACTTTGTTACCTGCTGCTCGGTTTTCCCGGAATCTTTAGCAACTCGTTTTCTCCTCTCAGGCGATTCTGCCAACAATTCTGGTTTTTCCCTTTCCTCTGCATTAATGCAATACAAAGAGAAACACAAGAGTTTGCAGTTGTAATACTAGCTTTTTTATAAAATGGTTATTTACAAGAAGCAACAAGGTAAACGGCATCAAATAAGAAAACAAAGATGCAGGTATAAATTCTATTGCAAACTTGCTCGTTGCAGGTTAAAAAGGGAAGAATAACCTGGCGTCATTACTTCAATCATAGACTCCATCAGTTTCAAACTCTTTTCTGCCTCCCGAATTTGTGCTGGTGTTACCTGATTGCATACCATCAATGTAGTTAGGTCACAAGAATCATGGCTTCACATTTGCCAATTCAATACTAGAACCAGGTAAAAACGGAAGGTCATAGAAGCTATCCTCAGAGGACAAGGGTTAAGTTAGTGAAGAGTACTAACAGGGATTTGTCTTTCTCTTCCAGGACAATTGTTTGCTTTGAGAAAATAGTCATAAGAATTATAACAGAATAATCACCACATTTTTTTACCTTCCCCATTCCTGGAATCATTCCAATAACACGAGACATTGAGCCCATCCGCGCCACTGCACGTGTTTGCTTCAAGAAGTCATTGAAATCGAATTTTGCACTCATGATCTTTTTCTGCAATTCTTCGGCATCTTCTTGACGCATCTACTCAACATATATACACATTTTCATCTCATGGAAATATGTATATACATGTATGTATTAGTTAAACTGATTGGAAGTTCGATACTCACAACTTCTTGAGCTTTCTCAACAAATGACAAAACATCACCCATTCCTAAGATACGTCCAGCCATGCGGTCTGGATAGAAAGGTTCAAGGTCTTCCATACGCTCTCCTCTTCCCACGAGCTTGATTGGCTTCCCTGACACCTGTGACAGGTCCAATGGTTAATTGCCACTTACACCTTCCAATTAATGAAATTTCTCCACGTCGTTGTTCAAATTTAGTCAAGAATGCTTGAAAATAAATTAGCTGCATGCATCTCACAACACTCGATAGAATAACGGTTGGCATATGATTTCAGCAGCATGTTGACAGTAGCATCGAGTAAAAATTGATATACCATTGAATTATACAGCCACAACTATAAAATTCCATTCATTTTTCGCCTTTTACAATTCATGGATGTAGCAGAAGAAATCATATTTCATTAAAAAAAAAACTATTGGTTCTCTGTGCATGAATCCCAAATACTGCACTGGTATCGTATCTGTTAGAAGTTCAAATAACTCTGCGTTGCATATGCTTACATAATATGTGTGAAGATAGTTCTTACTGTAAGAAAGAAGTTCAAGGGGATCTAGATGCCTGACCTCTTTAACACTCAATGCTGCACCACCTCTAGAATCTCCATCAAGTTTTGTTAAAATGGCACCAGTAATTCCAATCTCAACATTGAACGTTGTGACCAACGCTAGAAACATCAAAGGTTATCTCAAGTAAATCACATAGATTATTGACTCAATGTGATTCTAAAAAATTATTCATATGACACGAATAGAGCACAGAGACCATGAGGTTGGTTCAGGGAGAAATGCAGCCACCCAGATGCATTTTAGGAAATAGGAACCAAGACCTAATATTAAAGCAAAAGTATAATACACATGCGTAGCGGCAAAGCCAGAGACATATACAGGATCAAAGAAAAAAAGTTAAGTGGGTGGGTGCCACCACCACTGCACATGTGGCAATATGTTTGGCAATAAGCGTCAGAACTTCAGGCATAAAATTATTGTTCTAAAATATGGAGGAAATTAGTGCCAACCTATGCTCCAAATGAAAGGGTTGCTCAAATTTACCAAGCAATGAAACCTGTTAAATATTAACGGGAAGCATATATACCAGCAGCTTCTTGGCCGGTCATTGCATCCACAACAAGCAAAACTTCTGTGGGATTTAATACTCTTTTGACGTCTTTCAGTTCATCCATCATTGCTTTATCTATCTGATAAGAAAGAAAATCCATTTCTTAGTTTTATGTTTAACTTAAGAATTTTCCCAGGCTGTATGCTTGCTTCCATGGCCATGTAATCTCACGGCTCACCTGAAGTCTTCCTGCGGTATCCATTATGACTACATCAACATTCTTTTTCTTTGCCTCTTGCAACCCCTGCTTTGCAATATCTGCAGGTTTAACCTCAGTTCCTGCTGTGTAAACAGGCACGCCAACCTGCTTAAAGCGTTTACATGAGAAATGTACAAGGTGAAGCACATTAATAGAAAGATAAGGGAGACCTTCCAATGTGAGGCCATTTATTCGTATAAACAACCTATTTTAACATGACAAAATACTTCTCCAGTTCATTAAGAAGTACACTACAGATTTTAGACTGTCCCATCATCCTTAAACACCCCAATATCTGAAATCACTAACACACTGAACATGTCTTCTACGAAGCATGAGGAAAACCATGAGATCATGACGAGAGAAATTGAAATTGGCAAAAAGAGTCTCAAAATACATAAAACAACATTTAAGTTACATCCAGAGAAATTGACGTGATTCTCATGTCAAGGATCCACTATAAACAGTTAATCCATAAACAGGGACGGATAAAAACTCATTTTCATAAAAATCACATAACATATTTTCTTCCAATATTCATTGAAGTTGTGCTCGACGAGCTTCTATAAAAAAAAAAAATAAAAAAATCATTATGCTTATTTTGCACCGTATTTGATGTGCTTTCACTAGTTTGATGTCGATCTCGTTTTCTAAAGAACGATGATATCAATGAGATTTTTCCTTTCTTGGCCGAAGGTTGGTGCTCCTTGTGAATTTCTAAAAATTCCACAATACAAATAAATAGATTTTTCATATGACATAGTTATTAGCAAAATGAAATGCCTACACATCCTAAATTTATATCCAACTACAACAACCACACTGAGGATATGAGATTAAAAACACACACACAATTACTACTTTATACACAATTAACAAAACAAGAATTGCAACCAAATGATCCTAGCAATTACTATTAAAACCCTAAATAAACTAAAATGAGAAGATAGATAAAGACAATTAGACAAATGAAATAAATATCTAATAGGGGGTTTGAAAATATAACTATTAAAGAAGAAATTAACTCGTCTTCATGAAAGTAGTCTCTTTCTTGTTGAATAGTTTTATGTATTTATTTATTTATTTATTTATTTATTTATTTATTATTATTATTATTATTATTATTATTATTATTATTATTATTATTATTATTATTATTATTATTATTATAAATTCATTGTTCTGTTTTCATAAGAGGGGCACGGTCCTGACTAATTTATTTGATGGAATTTGGTGTATAGTGGTGTTTTTGGGTTAGTACCTAGTGAAAAGGATGAATCAACAATATATAATATTTTATTAGAGTGGTGTTAGTAGTTTTTGGACTTACTAAATAAGTGAATTATTTTGTTAGGTTAGTAGGTTGATTTATTGGGCTGAGCTAGAAATACAATAATTTTTTTTTTCAAACTAATAGGTGTTAAAAAAAAAAGAGGCATGGGCTTCAGCCCAGCCCAGGCCTAAAGGAGATCCGTCTCTATCCATAAACCTATGACATCATTTTCATGTTCATAAATGGAGACTGAGATACAGCCTACAGGTCATTGCAAGAGAACTACCTGGTCACCTAAAATAACCAACTGGTCAATTGCAGCAGGTCTGTAGACATCCCCAGCAACTAGCATGCAACTCTTCCCCTGTTAGGTAAGCTTGATCATGACATGCTAAATATTTTATGTACTACAGACTCCATACAAGGAAAGATAGAGATAAGATTTACGGAACTATAAATTCAAGAATGATCACCTGTTTTTTAAGATATAGAGCTAGCTTTGCACTGACGGTTGTCTTTCCAACACCTTGCAACCCAGCCAATAAAATGACAGTCGGGTTGGATTTTGCATAAACGAGCTCAGAAACTTCTCCTCCCATTAGTTTTACTAGCTCATCATGCACAATCTGCATAAGGTAAAGAATGTAAGAAAATCACCATCACTCTTGAATCTATTTTGACTATTCCGGTGCTAAGGGAAGCAATTTGATTCTGAATCCAAACAGACATGACATGTTGGAACAAGATCTGATCACAAACAGGCCCATGTCTTTGTCTGGAAAAGACAGTGATGGGGCCACTAGTTTTACTAGCTCATCATGCACAATCTGCATAAGGTAAAGAATGTAAGAAAATCACCATCAATCTTGAATCTATTTTGACTATTCTGGTGCTAAGGGAAGCAATTTTGATTCTGAATCCAAACAAACATGACATGTTGGAACAAGGTCTGATCACAAACAGGCACATGCCTTTGTCTGGAAAAGACAGTAATGGGGTTTGGGGGTTCAATTGAATTAGTTTACAAGCAATATATGTCAAAGAAGAGACTCAACCGTAGCAAATATTATTATGTGTGGAAGAAAATATTTTACAAGAAACACATAGCAAAGAACATATTCAAGGTAGATATTCAAAAGCCATCCAAAACTCAGTGTCCATGTAAGCAGCCAGAAGATTATAATGATTGAAAAGGCATAAATTGTTAAACATACCTTTACTAATTGTTGATCTGGTTTCACTCCTCGAATCAACCCAGTGCCAACCGCTTGATCACTTACGGCCTGAACAAATCTTCTAACAACAGGCAAGCTAACCTGTCAATAGAAAATGAAACGTATGAGAGGCACGTTGAGAATTCATTTCCCATTTTCAGGACATAATGTTGCTTACATCTGCTTCTAGAAGAGCTCGCCTGATGTCTCTCATGGGTTCCACAATGTTTTCCTTGGTCAAAACCTCTGAATAGCGTTTAACGCAATATATAAACAAATAATAAAACAAATCAAAACAAAGTGAATTACTCTGGTAAATGCCTGCAGAAACACTTGTCCTTCACACGAGTGCTGTTTGATAGAGCATAAGACATCTCTTTCTAATAAGCACTCGGCTCATCAAAGATCGCTCACGTTTGGACCTTTGAATCCATTTTCTTAGACTACAAAGATCGCTCACGTTCTACACACACTTCAAAGTGTATATCAACCAGATGACCACAGCACATATTCCTCAGTACGAAGTAGAATAGCACTAAGTAAAATGAAAAGAGCTCGGAATAAAAAATGTATACCTTCTCCTTTAAGCTTGCTCCAAGCTGCTTCGAGTCCACTGGTCAGCTGCCCAAACATCTCCGCCCTTACAACGCCTCGCATTTCCCTTCTTTGAACTATACTGCTCTTCGAATTGATCACTCCCCATAACTCTCTCTGCACCGATATAAAACAAAAAAAAAAGAGAGAACATCAGAAAAAAAAACAGACAACGATTTTCAGGCGGCTAAAACTATCGAGCAGCGGGACCCACGGCGGACGAGTTTCCAGCTGAGAGGGAGAAACTCCGGCAAGAGGAGCTCCTGGGTATTGTCGAGCTTGCGAGGGGCATTTTTGGGATTCGAATAGAGGAGGAAGAGCGAGGGAAATGGCGGGAAGCAACGGCCGAGAATTGGGCGGAGGACGCCATTGGAGCTCGCACGGTGAGTGTGCTTGAACTTTTGGATATTTTTTATCTACATACAAATCAATCTGTTTGGCCTATCCGTTTCCGATCCGGTGCATCGCGGCCTACCGCACATCTGTAGTTCTGTGCCACTGATGAGGTGACATGTGGAAATATGAAATAGGAATTTGATGAGGACGTGTAATTGGTTGTTTATCGTTTGATTTCGTTAGATCATCTCCAATGTTTTGCGTTCATTCAGAAAAAATTATATGTCACATAAAAAATAGACTCATTCTAAAAAAACATGTTCTCCAATTCAAGAGAAAGTGGACTGAGTCTTGCTAATGTGACAACAAGAAAAAGAGACTCTCATAGCATGTTTGTTTATAAAAAAATTTTGGTTTTGTTTGGATTTTTTGATTTGGTTTGGTTAATTTTGAAAAATGTGGTATGGTTAGTTGTTAGTGGGTATATTAAAATAATATTTAAAATAAAATATTAAAATTGATTTGATATAAAAGTAGGAGAGAGAGATTTGAAGTGATGGTTAGTTAAAATAACGTGAGTGGATGAAAGTGAATTAAGGTTAATTGGTGTGTATGAATGATTGATTGATATTATTTGTTCGTTCCAATTTTGTCATGTTTTTCTTCCTTATTTTATGCTTGTTTGTCCCCTCCTTGGGTATTTTTCTTTGGTTTTTAGTCCGTTTTGAGTCGTTTTGTGCATTTCCTTTGTTTTAGTCGTTTGTTGGTCTTTTTGTTCGTTTTTCCCGGTTTTCCGTGTTTCTTGTCGGTGGTGATGTGCAGGTTTGGTGGCTCGGTGCATGGCCATGCGAGGTTTACCGTCTAGATGGATGAGTTGGGGTCGTATTGGAGAAGACGGGATTAAATTCCGAATCCGGATGCGAGAACACGAACCCGAAAATTTGCCTTGCAGAAAACGTTCGCCGCGGCCGCGAGATGTCAAAAATTCGATTTTCTGGCCCGTCGAGCTCGCGGCCTCGGGGACGGTCGCGGCCGCGAGATTCTCTTCGCCACAGCCGCGAGAGGCTAAGTCGCGGCCGCGGGGGTCGCGACAGCAGTTTTTTAGTTTTGCGATTTTGTTCAGTTTTGGAGGATCTTTTTCACCTAGGTTTTAAAACTCTCTCATTGTTTTTCACTCCAGAAGAGATTTTTCTCTTAGTTTGACTAGGATTTGATCTTGGATTGTGAAAACACCAAGATTAAGCTTTTGGATTTGGATTACTCGTGTTTCTTTCACATTGGATTCGTATTTATCGTAAGCTTTCTTTTTCATTTCATTGATGAATGGTATGGCTTTGTTTGATATGAATGTTTGTGTTGGAATCACTATGAGTAGCTAAATTCCCTAGCTAGGGTTAGGGGATTGTCGTTCCGGTTCGATCTCGTTTACATGCTCGATAATTACTCCATCTTTTTGAGTTGTGCTTAACCTAGGGTTTAGATGTTTGATCACCATCTTAATCTAATTAATTGATTTCAAAACCGAAAGGGGAGAAATCGATCGATCTAGGCTCGTTTAGAATAGGCTTGTTCGGTGACGTATTGTCTATCTGCTGATTGGTTCGATAATTGCTCGTTTATATTTATTCTCTTGTTTCGTGAGATATTGAGAATGAATCTCTAAATGGTTAGTTTTTTGAGTCCTTCGGCCGAGTAATTGATTGCCCATTAAATGTTTTGAGAACCGGAAGCGATTACCCCCGATACCCTAGCCTCTTTATTACTTCCTAAATTTGAGCTCGGAGTTGTGAGATTTGAATAGTTAGGATTATCTTTATAATTCGTAGTAGATAAATTGAATCAAATTAATCTGATTGAATATTCGTACGAAGTAATCCGGCTGACCTTCCTTGATATACGACCCGGTGTTCGAATCTTTCGATTCTACTCCGGTAAAAATAATTACAATATTATTTAATTATATTGATAATTTTGATGATAGTGGGGTTGAGTTAAAGTTGAGTTAAAAAAAAAGTATATGAGTTAAAATGTTTGAAATTTATTGAAAAATTCCATAAACAAACATGTTCTCAGTCTCCACTTAAGTCTATTTTAGACCCAAGTAGAGACCCGGTCTCTTTGCATTAAAAGGTTATCAAAGAAAGTGATGCTAGTCCCTCCATACAGTAAATTGATTTTTTGATTCCCCATCTCCCTTACTAGTTGACTTACAATATCAATATTTTGAGAAAAACTTACCAGTTTAGAACCACCAAGAACACGCATGGTTTTGATCGGATGAAGAAATTTATTACCTTGAGAAGACTCTGAAACATCCATCTATTTATTGATAAACTAAATTTTGTGAGATATATGATTATGATGAATGACTCGCTATTTAAAAGGGATGTTTCACAAAACGATAACCGAAAGATAAGGCGTTGGGTCTTAAAATGAATCTTATCTGTCGGCAGCTATAAGATTTTCTGAAAATTACAGTACAACATACTAAACTGTAATTTTCGTACTAGCAAGAACAATTTTTACAAATTTGATCTTTTGAAACAATATTTTTGAGACTATAACGTTCTTCTTCATTTTTGAAACGAATCCATAGAGACATAAGCTCACGATGCACATAACCACTAGGATGTGTCTCAAGAATCTGATGAATCGCTTGATCCATGGATTCTTTACTCAATCTATCCTTTATAAATGATATTTTATCTTCTCAATTTTTGGACACGAACCCCACAGAATTATATCGTGTGTCACAAGTCCATCGAGCGCATTTGAAGCATTCACCTAACCTTTTTGCTCTTAATTTATTTGCAAAAGTACTTTTACCCATACCTGGCATATATTTGTATGAATTTGAAAACTTTCCAGATAATCGAACTTTTGCTTCAATCAACCATCGAATATCATTTGGAATATTATTAATCATTCGCACCCTCAATCTTTCTAATCGAGATCGATAAATCCTTTTTATGATATTTATTAGGAGAAAAGAATAATATTTTCGAATATTTGAGAGTGCTAAATCCATTTGTGAATTCGGACCTTTGTTAAGGAAGATTGAATGATTTACCTGATAATTTATAAAAATGATTCGTATGCGATACGACTCTAAAAACAGAGCTTAAAAGTTTGTATCTCAAAAGGCATGATACGCATATGATACGATTCTGAATTTAAATATTGGGTGCACTAGAAGTGCATTTATTGCCGCTGAAAGATGATGTGATATGTTTGTGATAAATATGAATTATTGTGATGTTACCGATATTAATGATAATGGTTTGCATGATTTATGTTATGTGATGTTTTGTTCTCACTTTGTGAAAATTATTACTAGCTATATATTTGTGAATCAATAAGAAAAGGGGTACGATATATGAGTCCACTACCTCTACATGTGTGCTACTAGATATTATACCACTAGATAGCCACATGATTATATGATTCGTAACCTGAAGTTACAAGATGTTTTGAGCAATGAATATGATATGACACGTAACCTGAAGTTACGAGATGATTATGAGATAATGAAAATAAGTGTCATATGAAAAAGCTAGTAATATACTCATTTGATATGAATGAACTCTTAAAATGAAACTGTACACATTACAAGTAATATAAGTTCAAAGTCCTCCTATTATAAATTGGAAACGAGAACGAAACGGGAACTATGAACTCTTCTCAAGAAATTTAATACTAAAAATACAGATCATGGATCTGTTAAGATAAGGGGGAGAAATTTGTAAATGATATATACATCACACTGGAAGTGTGATTGAATGATACTGATGAAAATGAAATATTATGATGGTGAAATAATACCCTGGAAGCGTTGATATTGTACAAATTGAAATTCCCCAAATAAGAGATGAGAATGAGTTTAAGATTAAAAGTTGCACAAAAAATGATATTGGCACAAATATCATCAGTATCTGAAAATCTGAATGAATATATATGATAATCATGGAAAGATTATTATGGTGAATATATAGAATACGCGTTGTACTCTTTTTATCTTGACTGAGGTTTTGTCCCATTGGGTTTTCCTAGCAAGGTTTTTAATGAGACAACATAAATGGCATACTCACATGAATAGTGTACTTTTTCCTTCATTAGGATTTTGTCCGACTGTGTTTTTCCTAATAAGGTTTTAACGAGACATATTCATGGTATAATGAGGATTATTGGATAATTGATATAATTCCTCATGATAATAAGAAAATATTGGAGTAGTTGTACTCTTTTTCCTTCGATCAAGTTTTTCCCAATGGGTTTTCGTGACAAGGTTTTAACGAGGCAGCAGGAGAATACTCCAATAAAGATAATCTATTTGAGGGTAAGCAATGTTGTGCTTCCACAATGCTCAGGTTTTGTCCCAACGGGTTTTATTGAGGGACCAATTGATTGATTCTAAAATGATCAGGTTTTGTCCCAGCTGGTTTTACTGACATGTTGAAGCAGCGGTACTTGATGGCCACAAGATACACTTCAAGATGCTTAGATTATGTTTTATTCGAATAATGATATTTAGAAAATAGTCATTCAAGGGGGAGTGTGATAATATATGTGCATGCACCTCATGAGGTGATAAAATAATATATGTGAATGACTATTTTGCCCATGATGTAATTGTATTATTACGATTGTGCCATCAAAAGTTTTTCTATAAATAGGAGCTTCATTTATAATGAAATTACAATTAAGAGAAAACATTCTCTATATTCTCTATATTTCTCTCTATTTTATAACAAAAATAAGCTATAGACATTATTTGAGAGACAATGCAGTATCACAAATACAAGATTACACACTGAAATTTTCATCCANGAAAGAAAGAACATGAACAGAATGTAAAATTCTCCAGTTACCAGCCAAACATATATAAACATATATATATAACTACTATGTATTCATAGCCCCACAATACCATGATCTTTATTCACCTCCATGTCTCGACTCTATCCGTACACGAGCTCACGCGCCTCAGGACACTCTTTTCCTTATTTTCCATTTCCTTACTCTCTTTTCCTTTGCCAGCCACGCGTTGTGCCCCGTATTTCCTCAACCCTTTCTTCCTAGCGTCTTTTCCGATATTACCCCTCCGCCTAATCGACGGCCGGGCTTTTCCGCTCCCCACGGCAGGGGCATTTTCGGCATCAATGTTCTCGATCGAGCTCAAAAATTCGTGGGCCAGACTCGACGCCGCCGGTTCTTCGGGCCTGTCGATTTCGCCCTCCTCGTAATTTTCTCCATCTCGACCGTCCGTGGGGCCCACCGGACCACCAGCTTCGATTAGAGAGTCCTCCCTTTCTCGCAAGGTTCTTTCTATGAGCGTTTTCAGAAAATTCATTACTTGCACGGCGAACATCAGCGCCGTCAGAGGATCAGCCATCTGAATCGACAACAGAAACAAAAAAAAAAACACAAATTTTGGTGTGAGGCGGTCTAACTGTTACACGGGTCAACCCGTCATACTCGATGAATGAAAATGCATACTGATACTATCAAATGTCACATTCACCCATACTTTTGTTTATGATTTTTTTTTAAGTACGACATTTTGATTCTTGTATAAAACAGTCTAACTAACTGTCATGTGGGACAACCTGTCATATTCGACGAGCAAAGATGCATACTTATACTACCAAATGTCATACTTTGTCATACTATATGATGTTTTTTAAATTATGACATTTTGTCAAGAAGGTATGCATATTAGTATAAATAGTATGTCCAAAAGACCTACGGAAAGAAAAAAATAATGTATTCACATATGTTGGCGTTGGACATTTTAACCATTCGGCAGCCATACTTTCTTATAAAAAATGCCTATTTGTACTATAAAATGTCATAAATTTTAGTTATATTGTATTATAAAATATGACATTTTAATTTTTTCTTTTTCATGCAAACCTGAGTCATATTGGGGGCGAAAACCATGGCAATATTACGCGCGTTCATTTTATTGAACTGCTCGAGCTGAGCAACGTCGGCCATTAGATTGACGGCCCAATCTAACAGGGCGCCTTCGGTTGGCGGCAAAAGCTTCACGAGAAGAACGCATTCTTCTTCGGTTTGAGCTGCCATCACCTGATCTGGAGGCAGAGAATCCAATATTCCATTTGGTAGCTCTCTAAACCAGGCCTAAAGGAGAAAATTAAATAAATATATATGTATGAAAAAAAAAAAAGTACATTAATAAGGGTGTTACCAAATTTTACAATATGCATATGTTATGAGAAATTTGATTCTGTTTACTGGTGGTGATATCATGTATGATAATAATTAAAATTATTCAGTGGAGGCGACCAAACAAACGAAGCAAAGCGAAGTGAAGGAAAGGAGCTCCCCAACTCTAGTAAGGAGAGCTGATTAGGAGTCGCTTAGCTGTTCGAGCCAGCCAGGAGACAGATAAAAAAGAGACTGTTCTGTTCTGTTCTGATTATGCAGAATCAGAAGCAGAGATTGGTATTTAAATCACGTGAAACTTAAGAAGGTGTATTCGTTCAAGACTTTAAAAGAAATTTAATATTTTTTTTTAATTTCATGATTTTAAGGTTATTCAATTTTACTAAAACCATTATATATATAAGCAGGATTATTCGATTTTCTTATATCCATAAGTCCTAAAAAAACAATTTAAATACCTAATGATTGTTAAAAATCTCAAAAAGCTTTTAAATATCCCAAATGAATAACTTTTGAAAGGAAAAAATGATAATAAAGATTTAGATATTGTGAGAAGTTATAGAGAAAAAAAGTACCTTAATCAGGCCTGCCAAACAATGAACATCAATGTTATGTGGGATAACTCCATTATTCAATTGTTCTCTAACATGCTCTTCCTGGCCATTCTCTGGATTGATTCTGAAAATCCCTTCATACTGGAATTAGAAAGAAACACAAAACTATTATTTATTTATTTTTTTAATTTCTATTATAGCATTTATAATTTTATATAATTAGAAAAAATGCAAGGTTCGTAATATTTTATTTACCTGCAGGCCGCCTTGTTCATATAAGCGCCTTTGCATCATCAATAATATTGTGGGTACACAATTCCCTCTTGAATCGAATGAAAGTTGCATGGACTCTGTTGAAACTCCAAAGACTCTCGTGCTGCAAAAGAAGGGATTTTTATTTTTTTCAATAAACAGTTGGATTATGCAATCACACTCTCACGTATGTGTATGTGGATTGATCTAACTGTTCAGACAACCTTTACAAACTAGACACTTACATTTATGCCATTAACATTTTTTTCTTGAGAAAATTGCAAATTTCGTCCCAAAACTTTTGTTGTTTCTCACATTTGGTCACAGGCACGCCAATTATGGTCCTTTTTGAATTTTTGTTGTCAAAATGGTCCCACTCCGTCAAGACTTAACGGTCAACGTTTATAGCCTGAGACCAAATGTGGGAAGCAGCAAAAGTTTTGGGACCAAATTTACAATTTTCTCAAAATGAAAGTGATAAAAATTATTTAAATTTATTTTTATTAGAAACATTTTTTTTAAATTTTTTTAGTAAATGTTAAAAACGTATATTACCATTATTTCCTAACAATACATTTAGTTTATATTTTAATAAATTATAAAAAATAAATATAACTAACATACAATTCTTTCACATTTTTTTAATTAAATTAAAGTTTAACTTGATTTTTTTACATAAAATAATTATTTAATTGGGTAACTTAACAAAAGGTGTATAAAATAATTTTATTAATTTGTTCATGATAAATGAGATGCAAATATATATATATATATATATGATATATTTTACTATAAATAAGTGAGAGCAAATGTCTATTTTCACTTAATTTAATGCCAATTTTTTTTTTATTATGCTTAAAATTGAAATTTTTCATGTAGATGTAATTTGCATAAATAAATAGATTTTTTAATTTATAGTTGTCAAAATCAAATTGATAAATAAAAAATTATTAAAATAAAAATAGACAGTAATAAAAAAAATTGTTTAGATTAGGTTTTTTTTTCAAATTCGTATTATTTAATAAAGTTTGTAAGGATATATATATATATATATAAATTATCACATTATACTAATATTTAAAAGTGTAGACGGATTAGTATTATTGTAAGCATACTCACATTTTTTCTTATTTTGATAAATTGGATTATGTCTTTTGGTTTGCTTTATTTAATTAAAATAATATTATTTCTAAATATTCTTTAATTTAACTAATATTCAAATAATTGCTAATATTTTTTAAGTAATGACGGTAAAAATATTAGAAAATAAAATAAATACCACACAATTAGCAATTATATCGTTTACTTTTCCACCCAAAATTAAAATTTATCAACGTCTTTATTTTTCCACCCGATATTTATTTTTATAAAATTATTTTTAATATTTATTTCTCGCATAATATTCATAGTAAATTAATTTTATTATGTCATTTCGGCTTTGAGTAAATGAGAGAGACTTGAAGAATTTGAAGAATTCATTTTATTTTTTTTTTGAAAAATTGCAAAATTGGTCCCAAAATTTCAAAATTGGTCCAATCTAACGTCCTCACACGAGCCCCGTCAATATTGACGGACGTGGGACCATCTTGGCAACGAAAATTCAAAAAGGATATAATTGACGTGCCTGGGACTAAATGTGGGAAACAGCAAAAATTTTGGGACCAAATTTGCAATTTTCTCTATTTTTCTTCTTGAGAAACAATAAGCCATAAAGAAAAGCATAAAACTAAAAAGATGACATAATTGGTTATCAATCAATAAATCTAAATCAGGACTATAAATTATTTGNTTGATTTGGAAACAGGGGGACTAAATTACTTGCAATTTTACCTCTATTAGTTTATCACCCACAATTATAAAATATGCATAATAATTTGGGATAAACGATAAATTTTCTAATTTAAAAATTCATCATTAACTAACAAAAGTCAAGCAAGATTTGCCCAAAATTACAAAAATTACTCACGTCTGGAAAAGAAAAAAATATAAATAAAGATACTCAATAATGCATATGGGCATAATGTTTAGTTGAGTTAGTGGACATTTTCACAAATCCAATAATTTATTGGGAAAAAAAAATATTATCATATCTCCTCTTTGCGTAGTTTATCAACACTCAACAACCTTAAATATAATTACTTGACATTTTACAATTTGCGTAGTTATATCAACACTCAACAACCTTAAATATAATTAAAATCCCTCAACCTTAAATATTTAATGATAATAATAATAATAATAAAAATAATAAATAAACAAAATTCACACACAATTAATTACCTGGCACTAGGAGGCCGCCTGGGCACTTCGGGCTCAAACTCCACCGGCAGGCCGAGAAACCCATCAAACCTATCGAACGTCACGTGCGCCACGTGCCTGACCTCCGTGGGCACCCCAATTTCCATTAATTCCTCCTCGACCCCGCAAATTTCGTCGCACTTGCTATTGCACCCCGCCGGAGAATACTTCCTCAGAACCGCCACCAGCACGGCGAGGACAGACCCTTCCTCCTCCTCTGACTCCGCGGCCTCCGATTGCCGAGCTTTTCTGGCCGTTGGATGATTCGATCCCCCGTATAGATCCAAGGAGCTGTATTTAACGAAGGAGCCGCGATTTAGAAAGCAGGTTTGTTGGCGAAAGGCATCATTGTCTTTAGGTGCGACAGTGGAGCTTGAAGGCGAAGGCAGTTGAAAAATACCTGTCATTTTTTTAATTTATTTTTATTAATGATGATTTTGGTGTGCGTTTGTGTGTGTAGATGCTTGTCGTTTTGGGTGGAGTTGGGTTTAAGGAAAGGTTTGTGGAGGTTGAGGTTTGGGCATAATTTGTGAATAGCAATATGTATAAAAAAATGTTTTTTTTCTGGGTGTGTGTGTTGTGTTTTTTGGTTGCTTTATGTATACAGTATACTTTGCTGTTGATTGGCTACTGTAACGTACATATTGCTCTTTTTTGAGAGGTGGGCTTGCTTTATGGCATGGACTAAGGAGATTTAAGGGATATCTATATCTATATATATATATATAAAGAGGAGCAACAAAATATTAATATATATTATCATGCATTAAATTTTATTTTTCCTCTAAAATTTTCAACATTCAATTTCATTTTTAAGTTACAAAATAACTTGCTTGAATGCCATAAATTATGAGCATATTACAAAATTGTACTCAAATTTTAAGTCACACCACTATGAAAATGACTGGGTGTATTAGCATAAAGAAAATAGTTGTAACGGCTCTTCCATAATAATTACTTAATCAAAATCAATCTTGAGAATTATTTTCTTAATTCATTTTTTTTTTCATGAATTAAATTATGATTTATTATTTTTTTTTTAATATTGTTNGTAGAGATCACATTTTAACGAGTCAAACTTGAGTCTTTTAATGAGATAAGTTATAAAAAATTATATAAAATTTCTGCATTCGAACTTCAACGAGCGAAATTGAATCCAGCTCGCTAACGAATCGAACTTTAAACGAGCTTTGGGAGTCAAGCTCGAACCTCAATAAGGCGAGACAAGTATGTATTGAGCTAACAAGCGGTTCATTTCATTTAACAACTCTAATGATCAGAAAGACGGAATTTGTCAATATATGCACATTAGTAGGTCTTCTATTATATATATGTGTGTGGGTGAACAAATAAATGTATACATGAACAAATAATGTTCATGTGAAATGGCTTAATGTGGTTGTTTTTCCATGTATATTTTAATTTATTCCTTTGGTTGACAAATTGTGTATAAGATTGAGTAATGTAACAAAACAAATTTGAATGGGAATTGAACGGATGAATAATTTCAAATTTAATAAAAAATTTGTTGATATAACTTACTCAACCCCGATGATTGAAAAAAACTCCGGGCGTGGAAAAAAGTTTTCAACTTTTTTCACCCGCATAGGAAAGTCAATGGTTAAGGCCTGAGTAAATGACTAAATTGGTTTTTGTCTTGACCAATATCGTAAGAGGTGCCTTCCATACCAATTAAATACGTACGCAATTCCATACATTTGACCAAATTTATACTATTGATTTATTTCCCATCGCAATAATTTTAGCATGCAACTTAATTAAGATAAGAGTGCAAATTATTTCTACATTAAATGATTCGTCGTATCTTACGCTGTCAAAAATTAGATTTTCAACAATCAACACCGAAGACCATCTATTGACTAAGAGGAAGTTCCCTATCATTTTCTTCTGCCATGCAAATACTACGAATAAAAAAAGAATCCCAGATTTTTGACCTAATTGAAAAAATATAAAAAAATAAAATAAAATAGAAAAAAGGTTAAGTTTTAGTCATGCCTGTCTTTAATTAAATCAATCGTAAGCTATGACTTCGTATATGGATATATAGTACAAATGTGTAATAAGTAATATTGTTTCATCCATATAACCTTATATTTAAGAGAAAACATAATGTGTGGTGTAACATATACACATCAAATTAAGGGGAAAGACTACAATCCCGTTACGCACCATTCCGTTGGGTTTTTAGCCGTAGGTTATCTATCATACACTAATCTACATGTGTACAGTTAAAAACCCGACAGAATGGCGGGACGGTAGTCTTTTCCAAATTTAAGTGGTAATGTTAGTAAATATCCTTATCATGTGGTAAAAAATGAAATATAACCAGTTTTTTTATAGAAGTATAAATAATGACTGTTTTGCCATGTGCAATGCCACAATTACTCATACTATCAAAAACTGTTTCTAGAAATTTGAGATTCCATAAATGGTTTATAGACATTGTTGATGTGTTCTAGAAACCATTTTTGGAATTTCAAATTCTTAGAATCGTTTATGCTAGAAAAAGTAATTGTGTCATTACACATGGTAAATGACTATTGCTCGTACTTTCACAAAAAAATAGCTATATTTCATCTTTGCATTTGCTAATTGCATTTAAAACCAAGGCACAACCGGAAACACTTTGGGAGCGTATTCGTCTTGAATTTTAAGATTTGAGACATTTTAAGATTTTCTTATTTAAGAGAAATTTTATGAAATCAAAAGTCTTATGAGATTTTAAAAGTGGATTTCTTATATGTTTACACACCTCAGAAAATTTGTAAAACTCTTCGAAATTTTAAATACCTCGAGATTTTTAATACTCTTAAAAAGTCTATGTTAAAATACACTGAATTATAAAACCTTAAAAAGACTTTTAAAGTTTCAAACGAATACAATCGATGTGTTGTTAGAATATATGTTATTTTCCTGAATATCCACTAAGATTTGTAAAATATTTGTAAAACACTATTCAAGTATATCTAAAATGTCATCCCATTTTCATGAAGAGTGAGGCATTATTTCTTATAAATAAGATATTTAAGTTGACTGGGTTCGTGATCCGAGCCAATATGGTTCAATTTGAATAATTCGAGATGAGATAGTTCAACCGAAAAGCTTGATGACCTATTCACTCGGGCACATCAATGTAGAATACAAGTTTGTATTGACAATAATTAAATAACTTTTTGCTTTCTTATGAAAAAGGGATGTAACAGGCTATATGGACAGCTCGAAACACAGAGGGCTGGCAAATAAATAAATAAATTTTAAAAAGCAAAAGCAAAATTTATTTTTCGAATGGCCGGAAAAAGGGAGCAAACACAGCATACACCAAACGCTCCGAGCAGTCATTGTGTCCGTTGGTGACTTGTGAGTGAGCCACTGTTCAAAATTTGAACTGAAATTGGCGGCACTATAATTTAATTTCAACTAATTAATTTAATTAGCCTAGGGTATAATATAAGCCAACTTATAGTACTAATTATAATAAATATTTAAATAATGACTTACAATGTTGGATAAATTGTTAACATAANTAATATATATATATATATATATATATATATATATATATATATATATATATATATGGGGGCTGGTTCAAATAAAAACTAGTACTGGTGTGAGAACCGTGAGAACCGTAATTGATGTTATTTTTAATTATGTATGATGCTATTTTTAATATTAAATGATGCTATCATTTTCACCAATGCTAATATAAATTATGTTGCTATTTTTAATAATATTCATCCTAGTTAAAAATAGCACCAAACACAATCAATCATAGCACCATGCACAATTAAAAATAGCGGTTCTCACGGTTCTCACACTAAGACTTGGTTCTCATTTGAACCACATCCTATATATATATATATATATATATATATCTTTTATGGGTTAACAAAATCCACAATTGAAATCTATGTCATGTAACATAAAATGGTAAAAATGATCTATCGAAATTGAAAAAACAATGCAAGGCAGTGAAAGGTATTGTTAGAACATCCACAATACTTTGGGTTTTTTAAAAAAAGTATACAGGTCACGTAAGAAATAGACCAGTCTAGAAAAATATTTACTCCAACGCAAATGCAATTGGATTGGATTCTGCTGATATGGCAGCAAAAAAAAAAGAAACTCAGTCTACCCTTGAGTCTGTTTTAAACCAAAGTAGAGACCTAGTCTCTTTGCATTGAAGTTAATTTTATTACTTTTCAATATTTTTGTTCATGTCATCCAAAACTTAAGTCTATATACATGTCATGTAAAAAAAACTAGACTCAATGTATTTTACATGCTCTAAGAGGTATAAATGAGTCGACCTGAGTTCAAACTCCTGCTATGTACGTAAGCTCATGCTTGATATATTAATCAAACTTAATTAAATTCGACTCGTTAACTAAACAAGCTAAAACTCAACTCGTTTAACAATATTAACAATATCAACTCGGACCTCAACGAACTATAAAAAAATTACATAAAATCTATTTTTTTGAATCGTGCCAAGCCAAGCTCTCTGCTCATTAACTTAAACATTTTAAATGAATTCGAACTTGAGTCTTAACAGTTAAATAGAGCCGAGCTCACGAACGATTTGTTTCATTAGAACTCTGACTACTAAATATTAATGAATATATAAAAAAAGAGAAAAAATCTAGATATTGAAATATCAGCATCATCATCACTGTACAAGCTCGATTTTTATTTTAAGTTTTTCACTTAAACCACATAAATTTTCTAGGATAATCGTAATTAGTATCATTCAACAAATTGGTATCTAAATAAATTAAAATACAATAAAGCAGATCGTAGAAAATAATAGCAAATCTATAGAGAGACAAGTGATCCAAGTGGATTACCAGGCAGTAAATCTTATTGAAACAATACACAACTAGAATTATAATTTTAACTTTTTATNAAAAAAAAAAAAAAAAAAAAAAAAAAAACAAAAAAAGTAAACAAAGGCGATTGTCTGATAGGTGTAATGAAGGTTAGAGCAAACAAACACACTAGCGATTTTTGTGTTAGAAAATTCACTTTTTGAGGTGAAATTCTCACTCAATGAGATGTGATCCATGAGAGCAATAACCTTAACAAGCACTTCTCAGAAACATGAATAGCAAGTCGTCTCACGCCTAACATTAAAGCATCATTCGGTTGAATTTAAATAGAAAACAGTTCGTTACATCTGGCTCGAAAAGAAAATATACACGAATCATTGAGCTCTAGCAACTGGCTCGAGAGCTTCAACAGTGACCACACTATTTCCCCTGATGACCTGCAAAAAAAAAAAGGAACAGAAATATAAAACTCAAATATCACAATCTCAACAACCAAAAGTAAAGGAACAATAAAAGTTAACTGATTAAAGGATCGAAATTTGGATACTAACCACCATGCCTATATCCGTTTTCTCATTCCCATTGACCTCCACAGTGTTGTCAATCACCAAGTTCATAAATTGATCAAATCCACGGAGGGTCCCGATTACCAAACGATTGGCATTGAGCTTGACTGAAACATTATCCAGATGAATACTTAAAAGAACAAAAATAAAATGTCGTAATATATAAATGTCGACAAGGAGGTAAGAGCAAATAACAATCAAAACAACACAGCAAATCTTGATACCATAAGTTCATCATGAGCTCTCAAAGCACATAGAACA